AGCCGCTCTCTTCAGGGCTTGGTTCAGACCCTTCTGCAACTGAATCCACTACTATGATTCCCAACACACACACTGGGACTCATCCTCTCCACCTAGGGTACCTGCACCCCAAACCAAACAAGGCCAAGGAGACAATCACATATTCACTTAGCAATCAACAAACTCTTAGCAGTCAGAAAATGGACACAGACGGAGACATATAGCTCTTCCTTCCCTGTCCCCCTCACTTGGTGACGTCAGTGGTGGGTCCCTGACTACAGGAGCTGGACACCTGGGAGCACCTCCAGGATCTCTTCCTGGAACTTCTATGTGAAATCTATGTCCCTGGTTTGTTTCTTCTTCCTGAAACCATATCCCAACTCAGTGCGTCTTTCCATCTCTGCTCAAATCCATCACTATTTCCTGCCTGGATTACTGCAGTGACCGTGCCCTGTGACACAGGCCACCACCCTGATTTTGCAGGCCAGCAGGCGTCTCCATTGCCTTTACAGCACAATCCCGTGCTTAGATCCTTTCCCAGCAAGGCTTTCGAAATCCAGCAGGTTCCAGCCCACTCTGCCTCTCTCACCTCGTCGGTCTGATCAGGACCCAGCCAGTTCAGAGACCCTGGACCCACTGCCTTTCTCTCTGACTCACAGATTGTTATGTTTTGGTCTTTTTGAGATAGGGTCTTGCCACGCAGTCCAGGCTAAACTCCAGCTCACTTTGCAGACCAGGCTGGTCTTGAATTTGCAACGATCCTCCTGCCTCAGCCTCCTGAGGGCTGAGATTACAGGCGTGCACCAGCACGCCTCGCTTGGTTCACAGATTCTGGATTTGGGCCGCTGCCTCTTCCTCAGTGCTCACCCTGACACTGCTGGTTCAGCCCAATGAGAGCCCCGAGCGTTGCCTCTCATGGCATGGTTTGGCATTCAGTCCGGACCCTGATGCCCACAAGGCTTGCAGGGGCTCCCTGTGCTGGGAACCGCTGGGAACAGTGGGCTCTTCATGGACAGAGTCAGGCAGAGTCAGGAGGGAGGAGCCTTTCTGCAGACTCCAGCAAACTTCCCAGAAGTCCATGTACCCCTGAAACTGCGCCTCCGAAAACCTACTCACGATGCAAGAACCTCTCGATGTCCCCTTGGCACCTGACCTGGTTCCCTGGGGCTCCCTGCTCAGAGCTCCAAGGCTCAAGCTGGTCCTGGTTTATACCCTCCCTCCCCCAAAGGCCAAGTGTGCCCGTGACCTTTGTGCGCTTTTGAGTCAGACCCAGCTAAGCAGGAGGTGTGAGGTTTCACTGGCTACAGAGCAGCTCCACAGGGCGGGCGTGCTGCTTGGACAGCTACCGTGGGAGAACCGGGCTGGCGCGGCTCTGAGCAACAAATGGGCTGGCCTGGCTCTGGGGCGTGGAGGAGGCAGAGCTGCTGCCGTGCAACTGTTCCAGCATCAAATCCCTCCAAAATTCCAACCGGATTATTTGAAGGAAGTTTAATTAAGGTTGCTGGGTTCTTTTCTCCTTTCCCCTAACTTTGTTTACTTTAAGCTCTTACTGCTGCTCTGGAGGACATAGCTTAAGTTAGAAACTGCCCCTAAGGCCAAGACAGAGGTCAGGGCTCTCCGGGCTACAGAAGTAAATCAGGGCGGGTGGGATTTAGCTCAGCCCGTAAACATCTATCTGCCTGCCTGACCTCAGGGAGAGAACACACACACTCTTGTTTGCACTTCTGGACCGTGGACCGTTTCTAAAACATGACCAAGTACTTGGAGAAAGGGAAACTCACAACAGAACTCTGGGAACTAAGAAACAGCCTAAGGTGGCTGTGACAGGGTGCATGGCTGCCATACCAGCACCCAGGAGGCTGAAGCAGGAGGGTTGCTGGGGGTTCAAAGCCAGCCTGGAATACATAGCGAGACCTTGTCTCCCCTGCCCCCAAAAAAGAGAGGGAGAGAGACAGCAAAACAGACAGAAAAAACAGAAACATTCTTAGGTAATCCATAGATCAAAGAGGAAATGAAAAATAAAATTTAAAAGTACCTACAAAGCAACAAAAGGACATTTTAACACCAAAGTCCATGAGGCAAATCTATATTCAGAGAAAGCTATAAACTTACAACGCCATCATTATTCAAGAAGAGAGATAAAAGGTACAGGAAAGGAAGAGGCGGCCCGCCCCCCTCATCCCTAAATGCAGTGAACTGGTGAAGGAAAGCATATGGAAAAGCACTGTGCCTGTGCGGGTCACCTGCGGCCGTCCCCCGCCTTCCCTAAACACCACCGTGTCAATCCCGTCTGCTTGGCGTTCCCACCGCTTAGGTGTCAGCAGTGGCTCAGAGATGCCCTGGGTGCAGGGGCCGAGCACGCCACACGGGAACACAGTGCCATTCCCCACAGGGCCTTGAGCCCCTCGGGACTTTTGTCGCCCTGTGGGCTGGGGCTGGGGGTCTCAGAACCAGTGTTCCATGAATACTAAAGGGTGACTGTACTGACTTAGCTTAGAAACAAAGAAAAAAACAGTAAGACAAATCAAAGCCATCAGGTAGAGGAAATAAAAGACTAGGGAACAGTAACCAAGACATAAATTCCAAGTTCTTTGAAAAGAACAACAGACTAAGTTATCAAAAAAGGGTAGAAATACAGAGGATTAGGAATGAGGAAAGAAGAATCAGATACATGAAGCACTGCAATCATTTTAAGAGAATCTCTGCAATTGTATGTCAAGACATTCAGAAAGTTTAGCAGAAGTGAGCCATGCTGAAAAAACAAATCCATGTTACCAGAATTCACATAAGCGGGAATGGAAAACTTGAGTACTTGGACAGATAGCAAGGGCATGAGGAAAGGGAACCACTGGAGAAAGCTGGGGCTGCAGGTTACAGCCTTGTTCGCCTACTGCAAGCTGTGTGTGTGTGTGTGTGTGTGTGTGTGTGTGTGTGTGTGTGCGCGCACACTCCGGCCCATTTCACAAGGGCAGCGCGCTTTAATCCTCAACTCCGATGAAGACACTCAAGAAATGCAGAGTGATTCCGCCCAGGGCGACACGGAGAAGAGAAAGGTCCACAATGGTGCTCTTGGCATGACTCCAAAGCGATGCTGGGCGCTTGGATTTGTGCATCTCTGTCTACGTCTGCAGGTAATTACACAAACACAGTGAGGATCTGGGTAACACAAGAGCTTAATTTTGAAATACAGTGGATGGAGGAGAGGGGTGAAATTGGGGAGGAGCAAAGCGGAAAAATATTGTGATAATTGTCCTCCTCTGATACACTGTAGGGGTGAAAGCGTATTTTTGTTTTCTATTTGTATCAATATTTAAAATCTAACTTTAAAACAGTGCAAGGTCTGGGGTACAGCTCAGGGAGAGTGTGCTAACCTGTTACACACGAGGCTCTGGGTTTGATTCCCAGGAAAACACACACACACACACCATATCCACAATTTTTTAAAATTGAAATAAAAATATAAAGTTTCCACTAGGATTTTTCAGCAGCAAATTTCTTTGTCTTCACGATCGCTTCTTTAGCCAGAGACCCAGCTAGTATTCGTGATTACCTTTGTGGATGAAGTAAAATCTCACCCATTTCCTGGACAAATGCTCCTCCTAATGGTGAACGCTTCTGGATTTGTACTTCAAAAACCACTTCTGGAACTTTTGTTGGGCGGGGGGCTGGGAGAGAGGGGTGAAACAGTGCCTGCTGTGTAGGCCAGGCTGGCCTCAAACTGACTGCTACACCTGAGCCTCAGCCTCCCAAGTGCTGGGATTTCAGGCTTGCACTTCCATGCCTGGCCTCAGAGCTTTCAAATATCTGTGCTCGGGTCCTGGGAGTCAGGGCCTGGGGCGCTGTGAATACTCAGCTTGATTGGAGTGAGGAGCCACAAAAACTGGGCTGTGTCTTTGCTGAGCACCGGTCCTGTGGGGCAGCACGCTGGGCTTGGCCAGGAGATGGGAGAGCTCCATGCACTCGCTTTTGGTGCCCCGAGGGGCTGGGTGGCTCACTGCCGACCCCTGCCCACCACTCCGCTGCACCCCACTCCTGTGGGGTGCCCAGTGCACCCAACCTTTCTGCTGCTCAGGGGAGCAGGTGCCAGGCCCCTCCCTGCCCCCAGCTCCCCACCCCTTCACCTCGGCCTGCTGTGGGCTGAGGGCAGTGGTGGGTGGGGTGGCTGGGGTGGGGCTGCAGGGCAGCCCGAGCATTTCTTGGTGAAATCCAATTCTCTGCATGTTCCACACTGAACCCAGCAGTTGAATTCAGCTGGAGAGAATAAAACCAGGCCTCTCAGCTCAACCTCAGGGGCCTTCAGCGGTGCTGGGCAACGCTGTGCTTCCCTGGCCTGGCCACCACCCTCTCCCTAAGCCTCCACTGCCTCCTCCCCTCTGCGCTTGTGCTTGGCTACCTCACCTGGAAAATGGAGGCCAAGCATCCACCCTTCTTCCCGCCAGCGTGCTGTCTCCTTGCCTCCCCATTTCCTTTCTTGTCTTTAGACATGGAGTTGCCTATGTTGCCCAGGCTGGTCTCAAACTTCTGGGCTCAAGCAGTCCTCCTGCCTCAGCCTCCCGAGGAGTGGGGACCACAGGCACGCACTGCCAGCCACCCTTCCCTCGTGGGGTCCCAAGCACGTTTCTCCTTCCACTCATGGCCGGGTTTCTCCAGTCGCTGATGCGTGGCATCTCCAATGTCTCTCCTGTCTTCTCAATCTCCTCCAGCTGGTCCTCAGCCTCACACACCACCCAAACTGCTCTCAGCCTGGCCTCTGTCCCGATCCCACTGTGAAACGGGGTTCTCTGCCTCTCCAGCTCAGCGCAGGAAGCAGCGGCTGGCCCCACCCGCTGGAGGTTGGGGTGCAGGGGAACTGTTCTCCAGGAAGCTGAGCTCCAGGTGCAGGGCTGGCCCAGAGCTGCACTTCCCCTGGCAGAAGGAGAGGGCTACACTTTATGCAAATGGAGAACAGGGCGCAGGATCTGTAGCTGGTGACAGCTCTGGAACTGAAGGGAACCCAAGAAACCAGAACACAGAGGCAGGGACGTCAGCAATGCATTTTATTCCACAGGAAGAAAAGTGACGTCTCTGACACGAGAGCCAGATTACAGAGTCTGGGCACACTGGGGACACAGTGACCCACCTGAGCTTTACTCTCAGTGGCCCATCGAGCAGCTGGCAGGGGGTTTCGAGGCACACATGATGACACTTGAAAACAAAGGGCCCTGCCGCCTTCTGAAAGCTGAGGCAGACATCCACTAGGCACAGGGTGGGGACACTGCCAGGCTGGCCTACTGGCTCAGGGCACCCAGCTGTGCTGGACCAGGGGACAGGGATGGCTTCTGAAGTCCTCTTCGGAAGCAGCCCTGACACATTCTGTTAATTTTCTTTTTATTCCTTCTGGGGTACTGGGGATCGAACTCACAACCTTGCACCTGACAGACAGGTGCTGTGCCACTGAGCTATTATCCCCAGCCCATTCCATTAATTTTCTCTTCCTGGAAAAAGAACTGTGTATTGCAGGCAGCATGAAAATCGACAGAAATCATCCTGTCCAGGTCCTGGGCACCACCGGGCATTCAAGGAGCCGGGCCAGGGGCTGCTCTGCTGCCGCTCTGGATGCTGTCCTGGCAAACAGTGGTGCGGGCAGGAGCCCGGGAGCAGCAGCCAGGGGCCCATTTGGTCCTTTTAACACCTGCCCCTCGGAGGTGCTGATCAGGAGGTGGCAGGCCCTCAACGGATAGGCAACGATTTAAAGTGCTGATTAACCAGAAAGGCGAGGGTAGAGGCCCTGGACACCCCCTGGGTCTCCCCAAAGCACCAGGCCAGGGCAGCCTCACCGCCTTCCTGCAGCTGGGCCCTGGGCTGGCTTTGTTTAGGAATGGGAGGCCCTTCACCCAGGAGGGACGTTTCAGGTGACCCTGTCCCTGACCCTGTCCGCGTGCTTGTGGATGCACGCGGTTCTGCGAGTCTCATCCAGGAGAGACCGAGGACTCGGGCAGTGGACTACTGGAGGCAAAAATCAGACACTGGGCTTGTGGGGCACAGGGAGGAGGCTGGGGGGCTAAGACGTGGCCCTGTGCTGCGGGTCTCACAGGAGTGCTGAGGTCACCATGGCAACCACTCAGTGACCACCCCAACCCCACTCCACTCTACACTGGCCCCGAGTGAGAGCCAGGTGAAAATCATGCAAACCCTGGGGCTCAAGGCACCCATCCCGGGAAACACGCTGGGGCTCAGGTGTCCACAAAGAAGCACCTTTCCTTCCCCTCTGTGTGTACGAATGCACACACACACATGTGCGTGCACACCTAGAGGGGGGAGATGGACTTCATTATGGGACACTTTTAGAAAAACTAAGTCACAGGGTTAGTTCTGATCTGAGTTGTTGGTACATCTCCCCCAGAGACGGCAGCCAAGCCATCATGGATACCTGGGGACCCTGACTGATGCTGGCTGCACACCCAGAGCGGGGGAGAGGGGCTTCATTCTGTGTCCTGAGAGAATCTGCATCCTGAATTACAGACATCAAGGTCTTCTACATATCCACAGATCCCCAGGGTCACCTTAGAGCTCAGCTATGTATGAGAGGTGGAAGGAACTGATGTATTTTACTAAAATAAAACTCCTGGAGTCACAAGGTGACTCGCTCAATCCTGGAGTGAGGCTTTCAGGCGCTCACACCTGAGCTTACACCAGGGCCACGCCCAGCTCCGCGGGGAGCCCATGGCATGGCTGCGCAGTTCCCGTCTCACTCCGCCCAGCACTCTGCTCCCCTCTCTCCTCATGGCAGTGTCACCACCGTGTCCCTGGGATCGTGCAGCTATGCTATCAGTACATGGCTTTATTCAGAACTCAAGTCTCCGGGGTCCCCGCCCTGGTGCTGGTGGCAGGACAGGGAGATGGCCTTCTCACAGGGGCTTTGAACACGTCCCAAAGGACAGCTCAGCAACCCTTCCTGGGTTCAACAGTGTCACCAGTGTCTCACATGTCCCTGATAGCAGCATGAAAAAAAGTGACATTGACATGTGTGCGTGTGTGTGTGTGCGTGCGTGAAAGGGGACAGTCCTACTTCTGGGTGGGGGAGGCTGGTCAGGAAACCCACAGGGACAGACACCTTAGAAAACCATCCGTGACAACCTAAGCACTGTCTATGAAGCAGCTGCCACCACTCTCTGTGGCTCTGCCTTTGCTCACTCGAGCTGGCAGCTCCTTCTGGGTGACAGAAAGCCACCAGGCCTCGCCCCTGAACCCAGACCTCTCGCCAGCCAGCTACTGCATCTGTGAGTCCCCAGTGTGACACTTCAGCTTGCAAGGATGCCTGTCCAGAGTCCCCAAGTGAGGCGCGCAGAGTGAGTGCGATTGGAGGTCCAGCACGGTGGGAATCACTTTACAGGAAGGAGCCTTCACACGTGGACCAGCCCTGCTCAGAGTGCTATGTATTTACAGACACAGAGCTGTACATATGTACACGTTAACAAAATACAGGGCGATCTAAAAATTAGGTTCATTTCAGTACATTTTACGTTATTCAACTGATACCTTTTAAAAATGATTTCCCCATAATTTACAGTAACTCCCTGCCCCACAGTGAATGCAGTTTCCATTTGTATCTTTCCCTTGCTCCTTGGAACCGCCTCCCCCAAATCTCTTTCTGGCTTTCCTCTAACGTGAGCCCAGGGCAGTGGCATCTGTGCCCCCATGATGGGGTCTGTGCCCAGGAGTCTCCCCGAGCTGGGACTCCTCATGAGTCCAGCTCCAACTGCTCCTGATTTTCGCTGAGTCTTAACATGAGTTGCTGTTCGTAGTAAAGGCTCTTTGCGTAGTTTATTTCTTGTGATAACTTGATGGCCAGGACCTCAGACTTCACGTGGACCTAAAGGGGAGAAGGGGATGAGCACCTGCCCCATGGTGGGCGGGGATGGCCACATGCAGCCGGCAGGCAGGCAGCAGCTCCCGGCCTGGCTGCGAACCACAATATGGGACACTTTTAGAAAAACTAAGTCACAGGGTTAGTTCTGATCTGAGTTGTTGGTACATCTCCCCCAGAGACGGCAGCCAAGCCATCATGGATACCTGGGGACCCTGACTGATGCTGGCTGCACTCCCAGGAGGATCTGCCGAGGGGGACCATGCAGAGAGTGACAGTGCACCTCCAGCTCTGTGCCTGGAGGCCACCAGAGAAGGAACAGCGAACAAGGAGAAGCCCAGGCTTTCACCCCAAGAATGCTCCACTGCTCACGTGCCCCGAAAGGGGGAGACGCCACTGGGGTGCTTCACCCTGCAGGAATGTGTACATACATCAACAGCACTTGGGGTGGGACTTAGGCCACTGGCCCCCAAGTGCAGCCTCGGAGCCGAGACAAAACCAAGCCCATCCGGAGCACGGGGAGCCAGTGTCCCTGAGGGAAGAGGGCCAGCAAGGGTGGCGGTGACTCTCTCAGGCAGGAACACCGAGACAAGGAGGTCACTGTGAATGACACATTCTTCTTGAGTCCCGAGTACCAGGACTAACATTGGGGTGTCATGCAGGCCACAAGTGGACCGAGACTAGGGACATCAGCACAGCACAGCAAGGGCTCTGTGGCCTAGACACCAGATTTTTCCAGAGTCACTGTGTGGCCCAAACAAGTCACCTGCTGTTACCCCTTCAGTCAGTGGCACGGGGGACAAGGACGACCCACGAGGGAATAAGCCCTTGGTGAAGCGCTAGTCCCAGTCCTGCCGTGACACCACCTCCACCCTCCGGAGCAAACGTGACCCTATTTACAGAGTTTTGCTGAGCATGTTAGGTGCTGCTGCTTTGCTCAGAACAAAAGAGGCCATTTCCACGGTGACCACAGAAACACTACAGTGTGGGCTCTCACTGCCTCAGGCCCAGGGCACCCAAGAGCCACATTCAGAGATGCAGAACTCCAGGGACCTGGCTGGCTGTCGCTCACAGCTAACTAGAGTGAGCACTGCTATCCACTCACGCTGGTGGGAAGCTGAGGGGCAAGCATTGAGTGACAGGCCCAGGGACACCCACCGAGGAGCAGGCGGGTGGCACCCAGCACAGCTGGCACCTCCCAGAAGAATCGCTGTGGGAAAGTGGGGGTCATGGCAAGGCTGCAGGGACAGCGACCTCTGGCCCCGGCTCTGCACACACCTACCCGGGTGCTGGGCAGTGGGGGACTCACCATCGGCTTTTGGTGCGATGGACCCGGGATGGACACGCCGCTGCTGGAGCTGGTGGCTTTCTTGGTCACCTGCACGTACACCTTCCCATGGTCTTTGGAGACGAGGCAGTGGTAGAGGTCATCGTATTTGACCTCGAGGAAAATGGCCTCCCGGTCCACGTAGTCGCCGCTCTTGAGGAAGTACACGGCCTTGGAGGAGATGAGCACCGAGTAGCTGTCGATGTTCTCCACGGCGATGAAGCTGTGGGGGTGGGGGTGGGGGAGGCGGGTGGGTGGCAGCCCGGCCCATAGGGGAGGAAACGGGCAGGGCCCGAACCCCCAACCCTGCACAGCACACTCGGGGAGGAGGCCTCAGTTTCCTGGCTTGGCAGCTGGAATCAGAGGGACCCCAGCCTCAAGGGGACTGTGGGGCCCGTGAGTACAGCCTTCCACAAAGGACACTCAGCAGACAGCAGCTGGTGACAGTGACCAACAGCTCCTACAGGAGAAGCGACGTCACCTCGGCAAGAGGTGCTCAGGGGTGCTTTAGGGGTGAGCGTAAGGCTTAGGGAAAAGGCAGCGATGCTTTGTGGGCAGAAACACAACACTTTTAAATGTTAAACGGACGCTGGGCGCACTCACTGCCCAGGCATGCGGCGGTGACACAGAGGCTGGAAGATGGGGCTGGCAGGGGTAAACGCTGCCAGCAGGGAAAGAGGGCCACCAAACCGCGTGGCGCAGGAGGTGGCAGGACCCCAGAGCACGCGCACGCTGCAATGCCTGAGTGACGGTCCCCAGGCTCGGCAGCTCCGGGGAAGTGGGAGGCCACAACATGCCTGGGAAGGCTGAGTGGCCAGAAAGCACTTCTGTGGGCAAACTCGTAATCTTTGTCTTAAAACTTTTAGTCATTTCTTCTGTGAGCTTCAGGGTTACGGGGAGAGGGAGGACCTAGCTCCAAAGAAAGGGAGAGGGAGAAAGGAAAGGAAAGGTAAGACAAACTTGAAACACCTAACTTCCCTCCCGTGGGCCTGGCAGACCAAAAGCAGAAATTCAGGCAGCCTGACCTCTCTGCGCGCCTGCGAACCAAGAACAGGGAGCCCTGGAAGCCACTGTGACAACTCTCCCAGCCGGACGGAGGCCAACGTGACTCACACTGCCTCTCACAATGGGGCAGCAAGGGACAGAGAAGGGGACAGATGACAGTGGGAACAAGAGAGGACCCCCCAGTACCCAGCAGCCACTTCTTGCCCAGAGTTAAGGTGCCCCTGGTACCGCCCCGACCATAGGCCCAGGTGGCCGTGGCCCTAGGTCTGCAGGGCAATCCCTGCAAGGGAGGCGAAGCCGGCTGGGCAGGAGGAAGCCCGCCGGCTCCCCTGCGCCGGGCACCTGCTTGCCCTAAACACTCCGCCCTCGCTTTCTCACTCCGCACTCAGGTCTGATGCCCCTTGAGGGCTCCCCAATACTTGTGCCCATTGCAAGTGCTGCACAGAGGCGCCCTCTGAATGCTGCCGAACATGGGATGTTCTGTGTCCCCAGGGAAATGTGGCATCTCGGCTCAAGAAGTGAGTAAGCTCTAAGCCCAATTTCCCTGAGCGCCTCCCCATGGGGACTCAGACGTCTGCCTTGTCCCAATTGTCACCTTAATTACGGCCTCCATGACAAAAACTGGAGCTTGTTGTTCTGTTCTAACTGGTTGGCAATGCCAAGAATGCAGACTTGTAAAGCCTCGGTGCCGAAATTAGAAGTGGCTGGCAGCTTCAGGGCTCGGCTGCTTACCAGCGCAGCCGTCCTCACACCCCACGGCCCCACAGTGTCAGGGCAGTGCCACCAACGTGTCGGGCTGGAGGGACTCTAAAATAGGCGTCCAGGGAAGGAAGGGGGCCACAGAGACACAGGGAAGTCAGGAAGAGAGCAAAGCTCACTGTTGCCCAGAGGAAGTGCCGCGGGCCGGCAGGTGCTCAGGGAGAGGACAGCCCAGAAGCCGAAAATGCTCTGTGCTCAGAAGCACAGGTGGACACCGGACTGCGGCTCTGGCTTCCAGTCCAGCCCAGCACAGGGCTCCTGTGCCTTGCCCTAGCGCCCCCAAGGCAGGCACTCACACCAGGCAGGTGGCCTGAGGCCTGCGCAGAAGGCAGAGGCTTCTGCAGGCTTTCAAACTGATTTCCTTCTGCGGAGTGTAATCCAGCAGACCAGGCAACCCTGGAGCTCTGCAGAAAGGCAGGGACTCTGGCCAGGCTGCCGGCTGCCCTGCTGGCTGGGTCTCTTGGTGTCTGACACACAGGTGCTGCCTGCCTGCCTGAGGAATGTGTGAAGGCCAGCAGGGGACGAGGCTGTCCAGAGGAGTGAAGGAAGCTGCAGCTCTGCACCTCTGCCTGGATTGCTGCCCTGGAGGTCCAGGACCCCCTTGGTACCCGGGAGCTGCTACTGATAACCACATATTTTGAGTGGTTACACAAAATGTTCTAAAGTCTTTAAATCAAAAGCAGATCAGAGCCCAAGGGCACAATGGAGGGAAGGAGCTGGGCAGTGACCCCGAGACTGGCCAGCCCACAGGTCTCTACCTCCTCCTGATGCTTCCTCTGCTCCCCTGGACCCTTGGCCAAGGCTTTGGGCCACATTGGCTTCACTGTTATTAATTCTGGGTTTTTACAAATCTGGAAACCACATCAAAGATGCATTCAAACAGCTCCACACCATCCCTTCGTCGGATGGACACTGATTCCAAACTGTCACTCTGTGGGAGAGAAGCCACAGGCCAGGAGGACAAAGGCACGTCTCCTCTATGTCCCTCCTTTCTCAGGGCCACAGCCCCTTCCTGGCTGCTGACCTGCAGGCTAATTCTCTGCAGGCCTTGTGAGTGTCACTCTCATTCCTTGTGCAGGTGGTGGCCAGTGGCCCCTGGACTCCGGGCTGCCCACTCTCCACCTTTGTGCAGCCGAGCTTCACATAGGATGGCTGCTGGCCACCAAAGCCTCATGAGGGGACACCGGAGGCAAGCTGAGAACTGCGAGGTTGCTCTGGAGGCCCTGTGGCACTTCGTGAGGCTGTCACCTCTTGAGGCTAGCTGCTGCTCACTCAGGGCTGGGGCAAACTCACTGCAGGAGCCTGGGCCAGGCAATGGTGCTCAGAGCAAGGCCCTTCTCCCCTGGACCACGGGGCCTCGAGGCCCAACCCAGCAGAGGCGCTCAGCCTGGGGTGTCTCTCATCTCTCTCCGGCGGAAGGCAGGGGCCAAGTCACTCCGGTGCTGGGCACATCCTCTGACATGCCATGACCTCTCCTGGCCTCGCCTCGGCCCCCATCCCTTCCTGGTGCCTTCCTGAGGAGCCGCCAGTGTGCACGCCCCGCCCATGAGCAGGAGGTAGCTGATGTCGGCTAAGAGGCTGTGAAGAAGCAGGTCCAGGTCCCATTTCACCCCAGGGAGCAAGACATCTGCCAAGCAACTGTCCCAATCGCCCCATTCGGTTTCCTGCTTTGCCTTTTACTTCTGCGTTATCGGCTCTATTTATTCTTCTTTTTCTACTCCCTTTGGAGTCACTTCCAAGTCAGAGAGGCCTGAGCGCTCTCTCTCCAGGAGTGCTCCCCCGCGGGCTTTCTCGGCCCCAGGGGCTCCCTGGCCTGCCGGTGCATCCAGAAGCTCAGCGGGTTCTGTGCAGATCCCCATGCTGAACTGTCCCCCCTTCCTCAGCTCACCCCAGTACTGCCACCAGCAAGCAGGCCAGGGCTCCGCCTCCTCACCTCCTCGGCAGACTCCAAGCTGGCCTCCTCCCCACACAGCAGGCTCACCCCTGCCCTCCTCACCATCCCCTCCCTCTGCAGATCTCTTTCTCCGCTTAGCACGCAGTTCTGAGCCTGAGCTGTCTCTTCTTCACCTCTCATGCTGCCTCCAGCAGGACCACGGAGGCCAGGCCCGTAGCAGCTGGGAAGGACGCTCCGCACATCCTCCGGACACACCGGGAGCTCTCCTGGCCTCACCTCTGCCCCTCTCCCCTCTCTGATGCCTTCCTCCCCACCCTAAGGCCTGGCCTGTCGTCCGCAGCCTTCTTTGTCAAGGCTCCCCTGGCTGGCCAGGCACACACATGTGCCTGAACAGCGAGGCCTATGGTACAGTGTGGGTCATAAATGCGCGGTTTGCTTACCCGAGGACAGGACAGAGGCTCTTATTTGTCCTGGCACGCAGTGGGACTTCACATACAAGGTCTCAAAGCAACAGTGAAGTGACACTGCCAGGGGCACACAATGTGCTGGCACACGGACAACTCTGGGTGACGGGCAAACTGAACTCGGCAGTATAGTTAAAAGCTCACCCAGAACTTGACTTAACTTGTTGAAGATTCCCAGGCCAGCTTTTACCAGAGCAGCGGCCAAACATGAGCTCTAATTCAGCGGCACCACGAGCGTCACCCCACTCCTGAGTGGCAACAGTTTCTGACAGGCTGTTCCTGTAGATGTTTAGGAAGGGCAGCTGGGAGCTGAGGGTGTCGCTCAGAGGTCCAGGTGGGGGCCCAGGGCTCCATCCTCAGAACCCGTGTCCAAAGGAACACAGAAGTGATCAGTTTGCCCCTAGGCCTTGATAGGACCAGGCTTTCATTTTTGTCTCTGTATTACTGCAGGATCTGAACTCACGTTACATGCTGTTAGAATGAATACCGTGGCCTGTGCTCAGAAAGAATTCTGACACAATGCAATTTCTGAGGACATGCCACACAAAATACCACCCACGGCGTGTTCAGAAGCTGGAAGACAGGGGCCTTCTGCTCTGCACTTGGCTTCTCTGTGACTCGGAATTGGTTAACCACGCATGCACCTTTGGTTCATTAAAAAAGGAGGCCTTGTCTGGCTTGCGGGATTGAAGGTTATTTCTGTTTTCTGTATTTACAAACCTCATCAACGTTACTTTCCACACAGCTGGTGCTGGAACCCCAGGGCCACACTGGGAAAGCGGCTGGCTCACTGGGCCGCCCGGCCCTGGGCACGGCTGCAGCTACAGCAGCTGCCCTCACCCTCACGGCCAGGTGTGTGCCCTGCTCTCTGATCAGACAGAGACACAACGCAACCCAAAGGAGGCTTCTGGCTACAAATCAGGCACCAGTTAGGAAGAAGGAGACCTAGCCACACAGGACTAAACCTTCCTTAACACCATTTTAACTCACACGCTGGGTCAACATTGAGAAAAACGGGAAACGATGCTAATTCTACAACGCACTGGGGAAACACTGGATTAATATGAAAGTAAAGCTTTTTCAGCTGGCCAGATCGTAAATCATACGTCAGTTACTATCTTATTAATATTAATTAATTAAATGAAATAAAACTAAATGCAACTTGATCAGGGAGGACAGAGTTGAAGACGTTGTGGCACTGGGGACACGGTGAGGTTTTCGCTCCAGTGGGAAGTAATTACACAATATTTTCCAGAAGTGTAACTGGAAAAAATGTGGAAACATTTAGTTAGAACAGTAGAGCAAGGTACTAAAGACCCTTTTAAGGGGTTAACTCTGAAGAGAAATATGCAAATAATTAGGTTTTAAAACATGCTTTTAATTATACATTTAGGATAAAAGTCAGAGGTTTAATTCAGCATCTGGGTGTTTCCCTGAAAACCTTTCTTGCAAAGTGGTGACTGCAGTGCTCACATCCCGTGGAGACTAAGCCAGCAGCTGGGGCCGTTTCTAAGACCCATGCCCTGGGGTCCCTGCCTGTGTCTCCCTGTGCACTGAGGAAGACCACGGTCACGTGCCTCTCTAGACATTTACGGGCCAGATCTCAGCCACGGCTTGGTTTGACACATGGTTTCCATCTTTAAAGTCAAAACTCATTCATGCCACTACCTGTTCCTCTTGTGTATGAATCTGCAGCGTTTCATGAAAGCTGCTTGGCTGATTTCATTCCGAGCCGGATTCGGCTCCACGGCTCTGTCGCACGCACCTCCCTGGGAGCAGGTCTGCCTGGCAGTGTTTCTTCCATTTCTCCTGTGTTTCCTGGCACAGTTCATTCTAACGCAAGTGAATTTTCTAAGGACCAGGGAAGGTGTGAGTTGGAGAGAGGTAAGCTGGGTAGGAAATGCTTTAAAGTTCAGTGTATTTATGATCACAGTTGACCTTTGATCTTTAAAAAATCCCTAACTGGTTGAAAGTGGACACGGCTGTCCAGCTAGGCCTGCTGAGTGCCCGTTCCAGGCCGGCAGCTGGCCAGTGAGTGGACAGTCAGAGGTCCCGGCTTGCAGGAAGCTGCCACTCAAGCTGACCGCGCCAGGCCCAGTGGAGCCTCAGAAGCACCTCCCTGGCCTCCAATCCAGAGGCCTGCAGCTCCGCTGGCAAAGCGATATGAAGGGCAGAGGGGCAGCAATCCCCACCCCGAGGAAGGCAGGAACATGAAGTCCTCCCTGGAGTGAAACTGGGTGGGATTCTGGGTTAACAGAGAGATTAGGCTACCGACAGCAGAACCTCTTCCCGTCACAAGCTGAATGGGAGCTGAACTGCACCCCGCCTCTTATCAAGGACATCCAAACCCAAGGGAGTATCTGTGATTGAATGATGAAGGGCAAATAGTCAGGAGATGGGTCCTGGTCCAGTGGAATTAGTGTCCTGATTAAAGACACCAGAAAGCGCTCCTGCCCTCTGCCATGCAAGGACACGGTGAGGAGGAGGCAGTCTGCAAGTCCACAAGAGGGTGAGCACAAGACGGCTCGGGCTGGCACCTCAGTCCCAGACTTCACAGCCACCAGCGCTCCCAGGCCTAAGCTGCTCAGGCTGAGCAGGCTGAGAGAATGACACATACCTACCTATGTCATCAAGAGATCTTCCAGTAATGTTCGGGGGCTTGAGTTACACAGGACACATCTAGGAAGAGGCTGCCTGATACGGCAAGCAATAAATGAGTTCTGGATTTCATTTTTTCTATCTTTTTTTCCAAACACTGATACTGAAAAAAGCAGACAAGCTTCCACTAACAGTCTCTATGCATCACCTTAAAAACTACCCCAGGAGCTGGCCACCACTTGACATTGCACAGCAACCAGAAACACCCACAGTGCTCGGAACCCTCTCTGGCCTGCTTCACCTCAGAGGACACAAACAGCATGACAGCAGTCACACAGACCAGAACACCTTTCTCCAGGCTGGTGGTTCTAACACCTCGACAAGTTCTAAAGCCCTTTCTAGACATCCCAAAGCAGTGACACACTTAGTTCAACTAGACCAACCAGGAATAATTTTGCTGACTGGAAATATGACAGGTCCTAGGTATAAGGCGCCAATGTTTAAAGATTTACAAGACAATCTAAGGAAACAACATTTCCCAAACATCTGAGTATTATTTGTTTGTTTGCTAACATTCTATAGCAAACAATGGGCCATAAAAGTTTAAGAAAATTTTACGGGGGAGGGAGGAGGCTAAAATTGAGAACCCTGAATCTGTTACCTTCTTCCTTTGAGTTATTTAGAAAAAGCACAGTGTTTCAGGAACAGAACAGTGAGGCCGGGCTGTAGAACACAGTTTGAGGACACTCCTTCCAGGAAGAGCTATTCACAGGGATTCACCCGCCACCAGGAACAGCACTTGGGACAGGGAACCCCACACAGGCCTGAGATGTCAGTCGGGAGGACGCTCCCTCCGACCGACCGCAGGAATCTCCCGAGTCACAGATGGAGGAGGTGGCCCAGTGGCCCAGGCTGACCCATGGCTTCCACTTACAACTCATCTTGGATGTTGTCCGTGAGCCTGAAGAGCTGCTCCTGTCCTTCGGCTTGGCTCGCGGAGTAGCGGGGAAGCAGCCCCTGCGGGCCCGTGCAGCAGCGCGGTTTCCGAACCCTCTGTGCTTGCGTCCTGGGAGCAGAAGGACAGCGAGTTGAGGAGGCCACGCGTTAAGGCTGAACCCTTTCCCTTTCTCACCTTGGACAAAGGCACTACTGAATACAAGACACACAACGCTGGGTGAGCAGAGCTGAACACGGCACACTTGTGAGCACACGACGAGGGTGTGGCTAGACGGGCCACTGTGAGTTTCCGTGAATTCAACGCTGCGATGGCTGCCCTCAGACCTTCGAGCTATGGGATCAGGCCTAAGTTAGTGACGTTCCTTAACCTCCATTTCTCTTTGCTCCACGAATGACGACCATCAGTGGAGACCCTTGCTAAGGTCATTATTACACAAGACTGCCACTGGGCCGCACCTACGTTTCTAGGACTCTCTTTGGGGCAGGCCATGTATGCGTTTGCAATGGGGTAGAAGACTGAAGGGCGGAGGCTTCAGTGAGAACCTGCCCATTTCTAGGCTTCTGAGCTGTGCTCAGTGGCGGGGTGAAGGTGAGGCTTGCGGTGACCCCGTGAGGAGGAGAGAGGCCGGGGCCCAGGCCCAGGCCACGGCCGGGATCCAGTCGGGCTCTAACTCTGTCACTCCGCTGCTGCTTTACCCAAAGGAATCTGCTCTGCTGTGACTTTCAGGGGTCGGCTGCTGCTGTCTTTTTCCACAAACCATAGACAGGGTAATTGATAAATACTTTTCGGTGTTTTCCTAGAAACAGGAGTCCATATTTGTCTTGGAAAGGCTGTGCATATTTCAGATGACTGATAAGAGTGTCCTGGGTCTGTCCTCGGCCCTGTACTTGTTGTACTTTTTATTATTTGTTCCTGGAACCCACTGAAGCAAAACAGCCCTCTCTAGACATACCTCAAGGAGAGGCGCAGGCATCCACTCTGAGTCAGCACTTCGGAGCCGCCCACGAGAAGCCGTGGGGAGACGGGCAAGGGGCAGAGAGTGCCCGGGATAGGGGAGTGGGGTGGTAACACGGGTGGTAATGCCTGCAACTGGGCCCAGGCCATGCACCTGGCCAGCTGCAAAGCGGGGATCACTGGAAAGTGCTCCTAAGCCCAGGTCGACCCTCAGATTATTAGGCTACGGTGTCCAAGGACAGCACCATACCTGGCTGATGTTTGATAAAAGCCTCAAAGCTAGAAACCCAGTGATAATTTTCCAAAACCCCAGGGACAAGGATGCCATAAGTACTATTAACTGTGCTCTCTGGGGCAGAGTTTCAGTGGTGTGCACTGAGAGAATGGGTATTAAAAAAAATCCATGATTTTGTTTATATCAGATTCACACACTCTCAGTATTCCTAGTTTGAATTCTTCCCTCAAAATCTAGATCTTCCCTCAAATCTAGCTTCCTACTAGTAACAGAGAGTAGGGAGGATGGTGTAAGAAACTCCTGGAAACCCGCTGATGGGGAGGTCTGATGACCACGGTTTTCATGGTGCCTATGGACTCCTGCAAGCCAGGGAACCGAGGAGAGGGGCTGAGTGTTCTTTTCCAGGCAGCCCAACGACACAGCCACTGCATATGAAACCCTGCCCAGCGGGCTAATAAAGCGTCCTCTCTGCAGGTCCCCCACTGTTCTCTCTCCCGTAAGCTCCAGGGAGAGGTCCCGTGGCTATCGTGCCAGAAGCTCAAAGGCCGATCCGAGAGGAACATGGCAGAGCTGCTTCCTTGCCCTCTCAACATGAGGTTGGAGTTGGGCATGGAGGCCCATACTTGTAATTCCAGCACCAGGAAGCCGAGGCAGGAGGATTGTTGTAAGTTCGAACCAGCCTGGGCTACAAAGTGAGTTCAAGACCATCCCGAACTGCATGGGGAGATCTTGTCTCAAAAAGACAAATGAACAAACACATAAGGCTTGATTCTGAGTCACCTCAGCACAGCAATCAAATCTACAAGGACCCCTGCACAGGCTCACCTTCAATATATATATGATATTCAACCCTCTTCCTGCTCTGCCAAACCTAACACACGGACTCCGGATTGCATGGTGTTACAGCGGCTCCACAGCCACCCCACTTCCAACCCTGTCCCCCGTCACGAGGAGGGCACTTGTGCACCTGCTTCAGATCCCACTTGGATAAAACACCTTCCTGCTGCCTGGCTCCACGAGTTCCTGTCTCTTCACTGCTGTCCCGGGAGCCGGCAGTCACTGGTGAACGGCAGAGAGACGAGGGGATGAGATGCATTTGTGCGGGAAGGACTGACTGTTCAGGGCCATTCACTGAGCTACCGAGGAAAAGGGCAACGCCAACAGGGAAGTCTGGGGACTAGAGCCGTGGAGCTCTGAAAGCCAACAGCGCCAACGCAGTAGTGAACCAGCTAGAATTGCACCTTCCTCCCAGGAAGGGCAAGGGTGTCTCTGTCCAGTCCTCCGGGCTAAGCTAAGGAGGGACGTGAAGGCACCGTCATGAACAAGTGGCACCTCTGGGGACAGGTGTCTTTCTCTAAGCAGGACAGATTTCTTCAGTAGTACTCAAAGTTGGGAAAACAACCTAGCACATCAGGGAAAACTGACTAATGGAGTCTCTGATGGAGTCCAGGGAAGCCAGAGAGGCCACGGACAGGTGACCTGCCTCTGCCCAGAGCGCTCGGAGAGCCCATCTCCAACCAGCGGAGGAGCCATGCTGCAGGGCGGCGTGCCCCATGCGATCACACTCCCAGCACCCGCCAGGGCAAACAGCTCCCCTGGGCCGAGGGGCCCCCCTCAGTGCTTTTCCCACACTTCATCTGCTCACTCAACACATTCTCCTCTGTCCTGCGAACTACAGACTCACAGGAACATCAGGAAACAAGAGGCAGGGCGGCCCCCACGGGCACGCGCTGACTCTCTGCAGCGTTCACCCTGTCTGTCCCTGAGCAGCTGCAAACTGCCTCCAGCTGCCAAGGTCCTCGCCTTGAGACTGGCCAAACACCGAGCCGGGGAGGACGCGGTGCTCAGTGCAGTTGGGCAGGGGCGCCCAGCGTGGTTTGCAGGCCTCGTGTTTCGTGTCAACACAGAAGGGAAAGGAGCAAAACTTGGCCACAGCAGGAAATGTCGTTTTCTGTTTTAGCCTTATAAATACGGGGGACTACTTGAGGCAGGGATGATTAGTACATGGTCTTAGTACAAGCAGAACACTGGATTACAGGAATTCCTTCACATTCCTCCGTAACCTTGTCATTCATTGCCAATACCTGAAAAATTAGGTTTTTTTTCTCTAAAATTCAACTAAAATTTCAACTTCTCAGGTCCAAGTTGGTAAGGCTGTGGACCGGGGAAGGGAGAATGGTGTTTTTCAGTTACCACGTGTAAACAAGTTCAGGCCCACAGGTGTCAACGTTTAGAAGAATAAACAATAATAAAGGAAGTTTCGGTACTTGTATACAGTGACTATAGTATGTATTTACACACAGCCCCAGACAGTCCCTCTTCACTCTGTGTGGCCCAGGCAAGGCAGGCACACCCAGCCCACAGACCACAGGGGGACTGAAACTTAGTCACGCCCTGTGACTCAGTAACTTAGCATGGCCACTTTTAAAATGATCGAGGGCTCTAGTGTCACTTTCATATGTGTCCAGTTAGACTCTGAGCACCTGGAAGAAAAGAACATGATCCCTTTTTTAAGCTAGACGCTAGGCCCGAAGTCCCTTTTATTCTCGTCTCAGGGCCCTCTATCACCATGACCTTCATTTTTTGAAACACTAGAGCCCACCTCGTATAGCAACTCCCTCGTGGACCACAGCGGGCATGGTCTGCATGGCTGGTCTGCATGGCTTTGGCCCTGGGCCCCCCTCCTCCTCTGCGCAGGGGTCTGGGCCTTGGGTTATTATCTGCGCTTCTCCGTCCCGCATGGCCCTGTCAGTTTCAAACTGTGCTTCGGCACATTCTTGTTATAGACTTTGGTTTCCACTTGTTCAGGGTCTGAACCACCCTGGCTCCCCACTCCACCTCCCACCCCGATCTCCCTGGTGACTCTGCTCTGTGGACCCTTCCACTGTCACAATGTGCTGCCCCGTGGTGAGGTTCCCAGTCTTACTAGCCTGGGGATGACGGATTGTTAAATAAGAGGCGGCAAAACCCACTCCCTCACCTCTTGTCAGTTGACAGCATCTCTTACTAACCAACACGCGATGTGAGAGAGAGTTTAAACATGAGCCCGCTCGGTGCGCAGGCAGGCAGCGACCCTGCCGCCGCCAGCCTTTGTGCGGCCGGAGGTCTGCGGTGCGTTTAATTGCTGCCAGCTGGGGGCTGTCGGCCATTTGAAGCCCTCAGCTGCTGTGGTTTATAAATTTCACAGCGCAAAGAGCAGCAGTCCTTCCAGTCAACCAGCTAATCCAAAATGTCAGCACCCAAAGAACTTGAGCTTTGAGTTGCATGAGATCGGCAGGAGGTGGGGATACGGCACAGAGGACGAGTGCCCCCCACCCTGGAAAGGGGCTGCTGACACAGTGGCTGATACACCAGTTGATACGTGGCAGACACCCGGCCAATCACCTTTATCTGGCCAGCGCTATCTATAGACACTGGAGGCCCCCAAACTGAGGATCAGAGCAATGAAAACAATCCGTGTTGCTTTTTTCCAGCAATGCTAAATGCAAACAAGGTGACATGGGAGATATAACCCATCCCACTTGGCTGACCCTGCCTTTCAGCCTGAGTTGGGTCAGCAGTTGACCGGCCACGATTTGCTCTGAGCTCACAGGATGAGTAACGGCATTGTGGTTCTGCTAGTTGAAGACAGATGCTGTGCACATATCCACACACTCTGTACGACTCAAGATGAGATACTGGTTGGCTGAGAAGTCTGTCATGGCCGATGCCTATGGGCCAGTTATGTCCACAAACAATCAGTAAATGAGGAGGAAGTGTGTGTCAAGCCTGTGGCTTCCTAGCAGAGCGAGGATGTCCGCTCAGCTGATGACTGCCACCTTTAGGGGCTGCATGCATGGAGTAGACCAAGTGGCAGGTTGTGCTTTGTCATCTTATGTATGTGTCCCAGACTTGTTGCAATTAGACAGCTTACTGATAC